TCCCTTCTGGGTCTCTCTGTGACCAGTTTCTGCTGTGCCTATAAGGAGCGGTGTGTAGGTTGGCATCACTAGCTATAATTGCTATAATTACATTTGAAAGTAGACCCTTGATAAGATTTGGAAACAGGGACCAGCTCAATTATGCAGCTATGTGATCTAATTTTATTTGCTTTGGTTTCACAGTCTCCCTCTTATCCTGCTTGTTGTTTGTCACACTCTCTTGTGCTCTGGTTTACATCAAATGAGCTCATCTATGCTTCCTGCTCATATAGCTTATGATATAGGGACAGCCCAGGGAAGAAGCCTGGAGCCCTGAAACACACGGGTTTGCACAGAGAAAGTCAGTTTGGAAAGGCAGGGGAACAAGAGGCTTGGCAGTCTTGGGGCCTAGAGTGAAGGGGATGTAACATGGTGCTCCTTACCAGCCCTCCCACTGCATCACAAGGAAAAATGCAAAAGTTTCTGAGCAGGAACATTTGCCATCAGCTGCTAGCCCAACTGGGCCTATTCAAAGAGTAATGAACTTTTGGTATTTCTGTAAATTTGAAGCGGTCAAACAACCTCTGGTTGTTTTGTTTGTTTCTTTTCAAGTATTATTCTAGAACAACAGATGCATGGTAATCCCTGTTTTTTTTCACTCGTACCTGGACCCCAGATACATGGTGTAGGCAGCAGAGATGCTTGGGCAGCCTTGATGGCTGTACAATATTGATGCACCTTTTGATTTAATAACTCATGTTCCTCCAATACGGCGATTTCCTCAGCAGCAGCTAAGAAGTTAATCTGGTTGCCAGACTGACCAACACAAGGCTGAGGTTTCTGAAGCTCAGTAGCAGGATTTGAAGCAGCTGGTAATTTAGGAGTTAGCGTGGTATGTTTCTTCAGTATAGCCTGCAGGTCAGCCGTTACCTGCTAATAAATAGGTAATAAATAACCACTAGCAGTGTCAGCTTCCTGCTATTTATTCTCTCATGTAATATTCCAAGTCTATTTGTGCCACGGGAAAAATTACCTGATAGGAAAGCAAACAAGCCACAGCCAGATCTCCCCACTGAAGCCTGCACAAGTGGAATTGGTGCCTCGGGCTGTCCCCAGTGCCTGCAGGTCTGCAGGTAAATCACTGCTGCCACTAAGGGAACCTCCCTCCTGCCTTACCTTGTCTCTTGTCTCGGGAATATCTGCATGGTTCACCTTGTCCCCATCCAGGCATCATTCTCCAGCTGAGAACTTGGCTTTTCAGTAGTGGTTTGGTTATTTTCTGAGAGCAAATAGTCAGGCACGATTGCCTTCTTTCTCACTGTTTTCTCCAGTATTTCATGTAGTTTATCCGCCCTGCTAAAGCTGGCAAAGAGGTCTCTTTCAGAAGATTGATGCAATGAATTTCACACTGTATCTTTAGTAAGTGAAGTATTTTCTCCCCATTTTTCATCCAGCTCCTGGGGCTGGACAGATAGTTTTTTATTAATAGAATATACACTAATATCAAAACTTTTTTCAAGCCAAATCTCTTAATTACTTTTTCCATTACCTGCCTGGCTCTCCACATGAATAAATGAAAAGAAGCAGAGAAGACAGACACATGACACAATCCTCTATGTAAATCACTCTGTATATCCCACCAATCTGCTGGGGCAGTGCTAACTTATTTATGATAGGTCACCCAATAGTTATTAATAAGTTATTGAATTAATATAAAATTAATTCTGTAATATTTCTCGAATTAACAATGGCTCATTAGCCAACTGATGGCTTACTCAGCCTTGTTTTTTGCAAAATATTTGGGAAGTGCACTGATGCCATGGGTGCTTGCTAAAGGTGCACGTAATGATTCAAATGTGCCTCCCCTTTGCCAGGGGTGGCTGGCTCTGTGGAAGTACGTTCTCAAAGTATCCAAGACCCATCACTGCTTTGAAAGTGTCAAAATAGCACTTTCTGTCTGTATCCTCTGTGTTTCCTCTTCGTTACATTAATGGGTGGCCACGTGCTGTGCACTTCGCTTGCATCACTTTGAGTTTTGCGCTGAGCTTTCAATTAACAGGGCTCAAACCAATAACTCTGGCAGTGCTTTCCCCTCCAGAAATCCAACTCTTATTGCACATCCATTTTTAAAAAGGTGTTATTGATTCTTCAGGAGTCTTCAGGGATCCCCTCTGCTGCATCTAAGGATGAGGGAAGGAACTTGCTTGCCACCAGGATGAAGCTGCTTCCCAGGGCCATCGAGGCGTGGGACTGCAGGGGTGGCAGACCCTTGCTGCAGCCCTCCGAGACCAGCTATTAAACAGGGAATTTAATGAGAGAGACTGGGTAGCATAAGACTTCAATTCAAGCACAGAGAATAGTTTGGGGACATTTTTTTTTTCGCAAATGCAAGAATATTGGGTGGGCTCTCGCATCCCCAACTTTGAATCATTTTAAGTTTGCCAGCCCTCATGTCTTTCATTAGTGAAGGATATTTGCTTCATTTTCCATCCATTTTTCTTCTTTGTGTCGCCTCAGCTTTGCTGCCTTCAAGGAAACAATATATTACAGAGATGCTGTTTTGCCCTCAGAATGTGTATGGGAGCTCATTTAACTCTGGTGCTGTTCTTCTCCTGATGCTGTAGCCTGAAATCCATCCACTACCTTTCTGCAATCCAACCTATGCTTCCTAAGCAAAATTAACCCTTTTTTAAGGGAATTACCTCTTATCTGCAACAGTGTTGGTCACACTGAAATACACACAAACGTGCTGCTTTGGTGGTGCTGTCTGAAAGGCACACGGCGAATTCAGCCACAGTTTCTCTCAGAAAGAGTTCAGCTCAACTTTCTGACCTCAGTTGTCTGAAAATGCTTGGAGCCTTTTTGTTCGCTTCATGTTGCTTAATGCCATCATTATTCCAAGCTGTTTCTATACACGTATGGATTTTGTATTTATTTATTTTTACAGCGGTTAAGCTATGGGCTCTTGGTGTGCTGTTACTGATATGGCAGTACTGCAAATGCTGGTGGTGGTGACCAGACTTTGGTTTGCTGGTTTCCCCGGCACTTGGGGAATTATTTGCATGCAAGATTTTCAGACATCTCTGAGAAATGTTTGGGTAAAGTTAACATAGCTTAAAGATGGGTGAGGAAGTACTGAAGCTGGAAGACTGCTTGGTCCTAGGGGTGCCTACTGGTGCCCCTCCAACTCTTTGAATGCATTGCCACTGCCTGCATTGCAGGGATCACAGGGCTGGGGTTACTCTGCTTAAAAGACCCTCACTGGAGAAGGGAGAGGGCTGTCAACGGCACATTTTGTGGATGCTCACTGGCTCTTAAGCCTCTCCCTAGCCTCACTGGTGTGAAACAGCCCAAATATTTCTGACCCTTCTGGGCGTGATGTAAAAACCCATCTGAATGCAATAGCTTTGGAGGAGGCCTGATGACATGGGATTTGGAGCTGGGTGGAACAGGGTGTATTCTGCCACTTGATTTATTGTCAGGTCAGATTAATTTGCTTTTTTTTTTTTTTTTTTTTTTTTTTTGTGCAGGAGAATCGTTGCACTGCCAGGTGTTTATTCCATTTGGATTGTGAATCTAGCTAATTGCCAGGGCACATAGAGCTTGTGAACAGCCTTGTATGAAAACAAAACAAAACTTAATCTAAAAGTACAAAACCCCTCGAGGCACCCTGCAGAACAACCTTCTTTTGCTATGGATTGGGAGCCCCAGTGCAGAAAAAAACTTCTTAAGGCTGGGATTGTCGAGCCAGCAGCATACGTGGAAGCAGAGCTTTGACCCCTGGTACCCAGTTTCTGAGCTGCATCCAGAGGGGATGCTCACCTTAACCTGGTCTCCACATGAATGAGCAGGAAATTAGTTTTATGGGCTGAAGGAAGAGGGAAAACTCCTCCTGTTTTTCTTTTTAGGGACTTTACACAAAGCGTTGCTGTGAAAAACAAAACTTTTTTTTGCAAACTGACAACTTGCTTCCTGCCCTTTGGTAAAGCAGGCTTTGTGTGTCCCTCCTGCTGCAGCCTGTAAGGCTCCTTTACCTTCTCTTTATTTACAGCCTTGCTAGCAAGAAAATACACACAGACAATGGGATCAGGGCTCTGAGCCCTACTGGGCCCCAGCTGCCATACACTGGACGCAACCCAGTGGACAGGGCAGGAGACTGGGATGCCAGGGTCCCAAACTTTGTCACCAGTTCTTCCAACAGACAGACTGCATGGCGTTGTTGTTCGGCATCTCCTCCTGCTCTTGGTGGGAGCCCCATGGGATGGGGACCATTTCTGATGCCCGGTATAAGAAGGCTGTGCATCACCTGGAGTCGTTGCCCTATAAATTGCAACCCTGGGGAACTACTCACCTGCTCATTTGATACACGTTGTGTTGTGATTTATACAGCTGCTTCTGTTTAAGTAACTGTTGTTTTTCTTGCACTGTGGTGGTGCCTTTTTTCTTCCCACGTTGCTGGTGCAGTTGGTAGATGTCTGAAAGCTGCTGAGCACTAGGCCTAGCACGGGGGGATGTCCTGCTCCATCTCTTAGGACATGGTAACTTCCCTCCGTCTTTTCAGCAATGATTCAATAAATTATTACCCTGCAAGTGAATTTAATTACACAGTTAAATACATCATATGCAAGGCTTTTAGCAAGCCCTACTAAATTCTCCACTTTTTCATGTAATCTATTCCGGCCATTGTTATGACTTCAGATACCTGTGCTGATTTCATTCCTGGTAGATGTATCAGCAAATCACAGCAGGAAAAAAAAAAAAAAAAAAACACAAAAACCCTGACACATCTCCCCAGAAGTTTTTGCTGCAGCCTGAGCTCCCAGCCAGCGTCGCGTTCAATAGGTCAGCCGAGAGGCACTTTGCCATTGCCCGGTAATTACCGTGGAACCTCTAATCCAGGCCACAAATTCCTCCCTGCCCATAGTCCTTTCTACTTCAGAATGCGTATCTAATAGCAACCAAGGACTTTTCCTATTTTCTCACTTGGAATCTGTTTTGGGAACTTGGAATTGCTATCTCACTGAATCAGTAACATCTGTGACTGCAGGGCAGCCCGAGTGGGAATGGTTAGGGGGTTAGGCAGATTTCCTGCATTTCAAGGCTCTTTTCCTCTGAAGAGACTGCTTTGGGACAATCCAATTGCATTTAATGCTGCTTCTTTCCTTTTCCTTTTTTTTTTTATTTTTTTTTTCCCTTTTGGTGTGTGTGTGTGTGTTGTTTTAACCCCATCTTTTCTCTCCCTTTTTTTCCCTCCTTTCAGCCCCACCCAAGTTGTTTGGGTTTAAGAAGTAAAAATGATTTTAAGGACGCACGCCAGCATTTTGAAAAGTTTCGGTTTCAAACACATGAAAAGAAAAGTCTGAAGGGATTCCTAGAACTGTATTGCAGCTTGCAGGTATGGCTTTGATTTTCCTTTTGGCAGGCTTTCGCCATCCACTCTTTCATTGCCCTTCCAAGAAACACTGCTGGGTGCCTAAAGACCAGCGCGCTTCTTACACTTGGCAAGAGAAGATAACAGTAATGCTACAGTTTGGGCTTTGAAAGATTAAAAGCAACATTTATTCCTTACAGTACCTTCAAACTTCCTCAAGTTAATTTAAAATCCATTTTAGAAAATGTTTAACTAGTAATACTGGATTTTTTCTAAAATTCTGTATATACTGTACCTGTAATTTAAACCAAGTAAGAGGTGGATTAAAGCAAGCGCAGTGCTTTAAAGTGTGTTACATGCTTTGAGCAGTCCTTTCCCTCTGTTGGAAGGAATACCCCGTGCCTCTGGGACTGGTCTCTTTACGATATCTCCATAAAAGCTCTGGCAAGAAGTGACCATACTTTGAGAGCAATTTTGAATTGTTCAGAAACTTTTTGCTCCTCCTCCCCTTTTTGATGGTGAGTGACCTTATTACCAGCCAAGCAGACAACAAAAGTATCCCTTCCCCAGCTTGCAGGGCTGCTGATAAATTATTCATACAGCTAATGAGGATTGTGAATTTTCAGGCATTTTTAAAGGCTTGCATCACTTAGTCAACATTTCTCTCACACCTGCATGCTTCAGGCAATCAGGTGTTTAAAATTACCGACACAGAGCTCTGCCCCTTCTCCTCCTGAAAATGCTTTGTTCAACAGCGGAGTCCTGTGGCTATTTTGTCTGTTTGTCTGCGTGAGGTTTTTTCTGTGCTAATTAGTGTGAGGGGAAAGGGGAATCTGAGAGGACTGCGTTAATTAGCAGAAGGGATCACATACCTTGGCTTATATTAATTTTGAAATGACAAGACACAGGTGCACATTTAGTGGCATTGAATGCATGTTAGCATTTAAGGGCTTTTTTTTTTTTTTTTTTTTGTTCTTCTTCCTATGGAAGGATCTTCCTTTAGTGGGAGTTATCAGGGAAAAAAAAAATCTCAAAGTAAGGAAGCTCCTAGTTGAAGCTAAGAGCTACATGATGTGAAAGGACTGATTATGTTTATATTACATGGTCTCCTGTGAAAAAAATCAAGCCTCCCAGCTAGCAGGGAAAGAAAGGTCCCTGAGACTGCGGAAACAACTGACTCAGTGTCTTAATTCTGAAGGAAATGAGTCCTTTGTAGATGAGAGGGATCCTTCTGATCTAGTTCAGTGAAAGGCATGCAACTATGAAAATAAGTTTTTCCTGTAGGGTTGGAGGATAAAGCAGAGAATCAGAGGAACTGGGAATTAGAAGGCAAAGAGATTTTACATTTAGTCTTGTTTTAACCTTTAAATGTTCCACTGGTGACTGTGCATCACCCATGGTATCCTTAAGAAAAACTTGAGATTGAAAGATTAACAATAAATGAAATCTTTGTTGTGTGTGACAGCCTGGCTTCTGTGGCTGGGCAGAAAAGAATTTGGAGAGACCATCGTTGGTCTTCCTGATGGTGTCGGGCCCTGAGGTCCTCACATCCCTGCCCATGCATGTCTGAATGTGAGGGAGATAGCCGAAGGCCTAGACCAATGTCTGAAGAGGATATTTGGTACTTTGAATATGGACCTGAGCCTGCATTTGAGCCCAGTCTTGCCTTCAACTCATGCTTTGTTTTGAGTTTGCAGTGGTTTTTGATGAATGTGAAATTCCAGTGTGCATCACTGCTGGTCCGTACACCAAGGTATGTCTTGGAAAGGCAGGCCGCCTTCACCTTGCTTTGGACACTTCTGTCTGCTTGCCCTTACAGGGGTGTCTCAAGACTGCAAAATCTTTCCCATACAGCACTCATCACAAGAGAAAGTAGGAGAGATGGGCAGCATGACACAAGGATGCTAACACAACGGTGTGCATTTCTACAGCTAAGGTATAGAAGACATTGAATTTGGTTATAAACAGGAGAAGAAACAAACAAACAAACAAACAAAAACTTAAACCTACCCTGTACCCTCACTTGGCATCGTAAGGTTACTGTGGATGTAGCCTGTGGTCTTTTATAGGTGCACAGGAATGCATGTGTGCCAGCAGCCAATATTTATTAAGTTGTTTTGGTGAATACTGCAGTAGTTCTGTGGGGTTGCCAAGGGTTTAGAAATGTGCTGAGAAATCTAAATCCTCATATAAACTGCAACAGCATCGTGAAGTATAAGCATTGTAAGTCATCACAAATTATTGGTCACTTGAAATAGATATACTTGAGACGTTTGGTGTGTATGCCAGTCATTCAGTCATTCTTGGGCAATAGTTTTGCTCTGAAATAAATCCAGTTGACTAACTACAGATACTTCACACCTTACCACCAAGTACAGAGTACACTTAGTGCCATGCTTACAACATAAGTGACCATTTTGAAAAAGCAGATCACTGTAGAAGTTGATCAGAAATGCATATACAATAGAGGAATGTTTTTAATGGCTTTTGGGGGAATATTAAGATTTATTCACATAAAGACCTACTCAGCATGTTGCACAAACTCGTCTTAGCGTACTAATAAGTCAATGTGTTACCAAATGTTTAGTCATTATAATTACAGCCACATGTTGTCCTTTTTACAAATAGGTCTGGCTTAATTGCATCATTTTTCAGCAGGATTTATGTGGTCCTGTTTAATCCAAAATTAGTACATGCACAAATGAAGTGCAAACTATTTTCCATCACTGAACTGTGAAATATTCTCCAGAATAGAGATACACCAACAAGTTGCTAAAAAGATGTAATAAGCAGTCAGGCAACTTTGCGATTTGTATGTATGTGTGTGTCTGCTTCTATGTAATTTGCTAAAAGTAATGAAAAAATATACTAAAATATACATTAACTGCCAAATGAACAAAAAAGTCAGTAAATGATCTCAATCAAGCGGTCTTTTTTGATCATCCCCAGTAAGACAAAGGATGGGAGAGATCATAAGTCTATCTTGCTATTGCTAGCTTTCAGCATTTATTAAATACAGTAAGAGCTAATGCATTTTATATATCACATCAAGTCTATCACATGCAAATATATCACATTTATAAGATGCTCTATAGGCCAAGATTGTGTAGGCCTACCTTCTAAGTTACCTTGACTAATATTCCATATAACCTACATAGTTCTGAGGCCTTACGGGTATATGTAGGACATGGTAGATGTATGAGTGTGGGCTACTTGAACCTGGGCCACATGTAGCAATTGCAATACATACATAATGATTGGAAGTTTGGAACATGTGATTTCCAAGAGTATTGTAAGTTAGACAGTTAAAATAGCAATGCATGACTGAATCCCACCAGGACCCAAAAGCCTAATGCTGGAAGCAGATGAAATCCTGTTTCAATTTGTGTCTTAAAGGGAGAAGTTACTTTGACTTAAGTAGAGCTGAGGTCTTGCCATCCAGAATGGAAATTTACTTACTGCTGTGAGCAACTCTGCTGATTTTTAGTGGGCAAATCAGAAAGCCAACAAAGTGTCCCCATGTTGCTTAAGCACTATTATGGAAGTTCTAAGGATTGTTCTGTCTCTAAACATGGGAGTTCCTCTGTCTTTTTCTTTTTCCCTTTTTTTTTTTTTTTTTTTCTGTTGTCACCTTTGTGCCAGTATGCATAGCTGCAATGTAGATAAATGTGGCTTTTGAAAGCTACTCAGTTTTGTGCAGTATGTGATTTGGGTAGAAAGTAGGAGAATGGCTCTATTAGTAAAAGTATATGAATATTGAATATAGCCCTTGTTTCAAATTCTACTTCTCCTCGTTTTTATGACTTTAAAGTATTTTTCATTGTATGTCTTAATGGGCCAAAATTTCAAAGACTTACTCAAAGTAGGGCACCTCATGACCTGTGCAGAATGATCTTAGCCATGAGGAACGCGCACCCTTGTGTGTTTGAATGGGTTAATACACTTGCAAGCAGTAGCTCGCAGGTCACTGCCACTTCTCTCTGCTTCAGCGTGTCACCGCAGTAATTCACACTCTGAAACCTTAGGGCTATATCTGGTAACGTTCACTTTGTGCTGCAAATAGCAGCTTCAGCTGAGCTGTCTCTGAAGTAGCGCTGGTGCTCAATGAGCACAGCCATCCTCGGTGAGCAGAACTGTCCATAAGCTACCCAAGTGTGGCTTGCAGCGATGTTTGTGATGTGTATGATCCCAAACTGAAAGATCTGATAAACCATCTCTGATGGTCAGCTGGACTCATCGTTCTCAGCAGCCCTTTAACCTGAATGCCTTGAGATGACAACAGAGGTGCTCCCAGAACAGGGCCTAGGGTTTGTCTGGTGGGTCAGGACTGTACTGATGCTTGAGCCAGGGTGTGAGGTCTGTCTTCCCAGTTTGACTGTCTCCCTGACTTATTCTGCTCATTCACAACTTCTACTTTTCCTAAGAATATTTATTTCTTAAATCCAAGTCAAATGCACAGACTGAGGGACTTGCTACCACTTGTAAATCAGGAGCTGGACATTTACCTGGTATTTCTCATGTAGACTTTTCCAAATACACTTAAATGAAAACATATAATCAGTTAGTTTCACTTAATAAGAGCAAAACATGGTGCAGGAGTAGGACACGGGCATCATAATCATACCTGGAGAAATCACAGGTGAAAAAGGATGCACTGCTGCATTTTGGAGAACATTTTCCTAAGGATATCTCATTTAACAGGTTCTGTTCACAACAAAATCAGCATTTCCAGAGCTGCAACGCTGCATGCTTGCTTCTAGGCAGCTTCAGGTAGGCAGCTCAGGACTGCTCCGATTTGGTTGTATTGTTTCTCTTCAGCATGTTCCTCTCCATGTAGTGACCTTAGCCTGTCTGCATGCCAGGGGAGCGATCTCCATCTGTTGAACACTTGTCACATGAACCAGTGACCTACACCGATGTAACACCCTACAACACCTGTGAGTTGCTCAACCGTGGCCGCCCCGGCCGCTGAGAGACACAGAGCAAGAAGCACCCGCGACAGCTTGGAAGAAACTGGGTCACTTTTTTTATATACCTTAAAGACAAAATACGAAGCAAAATTCTTCCTGGTAGCTGTGAAGCTGGAAGCAATTTCAAGCCCCTTTTTTAAGCAGAAAGGCTGCTCTTGCCTTAGTTCACAGAAATTAACACTGATACATTAGCCTGTCATCCACCGAGAGCTTTAACTGCGTAGAGGAAGGCACCTGGACTCGAAGGATCGAAGCTCTGCTCGCTTTTCTCAAGTTGGATATTCTGGTGCTTCTGGTGAGTCTTGCATATGTAGAAGCAGCAGAACTTGTCTCAGGGAATAAAGGCATCGCCACGGGAAGGGACAGATGGTATATGTTCCTGAGACCCAGCTACGGATTGATGCTCCTAAGGACAGCCGCTCCCGCAGGTGGGAGCGTGTTTAAATGAGCCGGTGGCACAGAAAGTTGGGGAAGGAAGGAGCGCCTCGGGTGAGTGATCTTCTGCGGGATTTTGGACCCAGGACCCTTCTCCTCATGAAGCTGCTGAGGTCAGCTCTTTGGAAGTTGGGTGCTGGAAATCTCCCCAGGAGGGCTGGGCTCCAGCGGGATGGAGAAGGCTGGGGCTCCCAGGCAGCTGCCTCCAACCCTTGCACCAGCTGTTCCGTGGGTATTTCCTAATACTTTCTTCACTTTTATTTATTTTAATTCACTTCAAAGTTGTATTTGAATAGAAGAGCCTGAACCGGTTGTGTGTTCAGTGACTGACTGAGATCCTGAGGCCTTTTTTTGTCGCCAGAAGCCGCCTCACCTGCCTGGAGGCACGGAGGTGGGGCACTTACTGGAAAGTCGGCTCTCTGGGACACAGCCTGGTGTCAAACTAGCTTATTGTTTCCAAAAAAATGGTATTTTTCCCACCTGTTTTTTATTTGTTTGAAAGTAGCTTTTTTTTTTTCACACAAATTTCTGCCAAAAGGCTTAGTAACTCACCTCAGCCTGTGGCCAGCACCAGTCTTTTGACGCAAAAGTGCAAATGTTGGTTTAGATAAGTTACGTGTTTTGCATGGGGAAAACGTTTTCCTGACCCACACTAGTAGAGGATGTTGTTCTCTGATTTGTGAGAATTCCTAAACCTCTCTAAAATCTTCTGTTTGATTTTCAGTCTTTATTATGGTAAGTTGAGATGTTTTTTATTTGCAACATTATTGTTCCTAGTGTGATTGTTCTTGCAATTAGAAAATAATACAGATTAAATGATAGTTACAGTTTTGAGTTTTCCAGGTTGCAGAAGGTGTGCATCTATATTTTCCTTCAAATTTTACACTTTAAAAGATTAAAAGAATATATATTAGGACATAGCTGAAGTATTTCTTTATCCCCGATCCCCGTAGGCTGTCTGCAGCTAGTCTGGGCTGAGGATGAGCTTGGAAAGAATACTTCTATGCTCCTAGAATATAAATTAATTGCTAACTTCTCCAAGTTAAAATGGTGATACTATGTTTTGTCTTCTAAGAACAAGCAGGGATATCAATTAAAGTGTCACAAGTAAACCCTGAATTGTTGTGAAGTAACATCTGATTTCCTAGATTCATCTGAAAGGTATGTTTTCAGATCTCAGAAGCCTCTCCTTAACCCCTGTTCCACAAATAGCCTTATGCTAGGATGAAGCAGAGACAAATACACAATAGAACTTAAATATCTGCTTAATAGGAACTGCTGAGGGGTGTGTGCTATATCTTCTCATAGCAACCATAGGCCACATTTCAGAGGTGGAGGCTGAATGGATCAAATGCAATGGTTTCCATGGTTGCACAGGGTTTCATGTACCCAATAACATTAATATTCCGGTCCTTAATAGAATAACTTGTACAAAGGCATTTTTCCCTCTTTATTTCCTATCTTAAATTATTATTCTATGGATGATTGCATGGAATTAGCACATTAAAGTTATATTTAATCTTAAAATGTTCTTGAAATTGTTTTTAGCATGGGCTCAAGTCTGTAGTACTTACGCGAGCAAAATTTCAGGTGCCTCCTGAGTCAACCCTGTAGAATTTGGCTGGTGAAATAATGATTTTTTTTTTCTCTTACCAGCTTGCTAATATCATTTATCTTAACAGAAGTTTGATTGCCATTTCTAGTCTGGCAAAGTCAGGTATATTGATGATGGCTGACTGTTTTTGGAAGACAATGTGAGGCTGAGAGCTTACAGGTGGGATCTCAGTTGTGATAATGTGACTTACATTTTAAGCCCAGTGAGTTTTGCTGGATCAATGAAAAATCCTTTTTAAGGGAATGCCTCCTTTTGTGTTTTATTACCAAGTTGGAGGTGATTATTGTTCTTGCTTTTGTTATTATCTAGGCTTCTAGCAGGCTCGTCTCTGCTGGAAATTGTCCACTACCTCATTTTTTATGTCCTTCTGAAAAATCGCAGTTCTTAATTTTGGTAGCTATTATGAAAACAGCACTCCAGAATTACACTTGAGCCAACAGTCATAGAAAAGTCCCCAGTAAACAGTGTGTCTGGATAGTTCCACTTGACCAGGACTTTCATACAACTTAAAACAACAAATGCTTGGGGATTCCTTTTAAAGTGCAAATAATTTGCAGGTGCTGCCCTAGTTCTGGGATAAGCCATGGCTGAATGAGGGGTAGTATCACCAGGAAAGCTTGTTGTAGGGAAGATGCATTGTGTAATTCTCCAGCTGATTTGCTGAATTAAAAACTGTTCTGGCAGTCCTATTTGACATTTCCAGTCACAGTGGGTATATCCAGCCCTACTGAAGCAGGGGGCATAAGCATCCATACCAGAACCATAGAATAAAATATGCAGAGGTCTTGAGAGAGCTCTTTAGAAAAAAGAAAAAAAGAAAAAAAAAAAAAAAAAAAAACAACAAAAAAAACCACAGTGCTTAAAGAAATTGTCCAAATTTGTGTGACTTTGATATCTCTAATGGCTAGTAGCTACTGCGATGTAATCAGTGCTGACTTCTGGCCTCTGCTCTACAACTGGAAATCTGTGTGAGCATGTAGAGCTCTCTAAACCTCCCAGTGATTAATCTGAAGTGTTTGTTATCTGGCTCACAGATGTCTATTAAAGTGCAGTTTACAGAGACGAGCTCAATGTGCAAAAAGGTTGAATTTTTAGCTTGTGTAAACTGTTGTTTGCCCACTGAAGTCAACAGAGTTGTCTTTTGATGAACCCCCAGCAGAGGATCTGGTCTCTAACGAACTTTCAATGTATTGTTCTTGGCTGTGTCTATGAATATTTCAGAGTGTGCTGAAGCTGGGCTCTGAATGCATTCATTCATAAACCACTGTATAAATGATCAAAGGCAAGGCTTCTTGATCTTGAATGCAATAAATCCTCTGCTTTCAGGTTTACTGGACTGGAGACTATCGTAGAAATACTTGTTCCTCACATACAGATGAGGAAGCTGGAGTCAAGTATTGCTCACTTTGGACAAATGCCTCTGGAAGTCCCCAAATTGCTTTGCACATCTAACAGATTGGACAGAAGCAGCTCAGCCTCCACAAACAGCAGTGTTGTGCTGGGTACGGTCTGCCTGCACAGATCATGTTTTTGGAGACTTTTGTTTACTGCCTGAGGTCTAATAGTGACAGAGGAGAAGGGCGTTTACCTGAATATCTGCAAAATGCAATCAGAAGGAAAGGCAACTAATTTAAAATCAGGCAGTATGTTCAGATAAGCTTATTTTTGGCTTTCAAATTTTTTGCTATAAACACATTGTATAGATTATTAACAAAGACTTGCTTTTTATTTTATTTTATTTTATTGTGCATTTATGTTTGTTCAGCATCTTGGAGATTTCTTTTCAGAACAATGGTAAAGCCTTAGAGCAAAAGTGATGTGAAGCAGGTTTTGGGGTCGTGAAACAAGTACATGACTTCTCCTTAGAATTGATTTTTTCCAGCCATCCAAGTAGTTACATTCACAGAAGTATTATTTAAAGACAATATTTTCTAAGGGTGTTTATATCCAGATAATGTTAGAGAAACATGTACAATGAAGACTAACTGAAAATAAAGCTCAGAACTTCTTCACCCTTTCTAGGTTTCTTAAGGGAATGTTAATTCTCTCTGCAATAAACTACGGCACTGTTAAGTGGGATTGGCAATGCTTAACTCTGAACTCATTTAAAATGAACACTCAAAAATACTGTACAATTGGGATTTGCTTAACCCCATGTATATCACTGTGGATTTCCCCCATGCTATACGGGCTGAAATTTTTCAACTCAAAACCGTCTTCAGTAAGGACTCCCGTGGTGCATATCTTCCTTGCAAAGGGCAGAGAAGCAGTGACAGGTGGGAAATATAGTCTTGAGAGGCAATATTTCCTAGGAGAAATACTTTTATTTCAGGATGAAATATTTCAACTTCAAATGTCTTAACTTCTTTCAAGTTCTTTCTCTACAGGATTGCTCACCTACTGCTAACACTGGCCGGGTATGCCAGAAGCCCTGTGCACATGCTTGAAGGTACACACACACATACACACACTCTTCCAATGAATCTGTAGGGCTCTGATGTGTACAGGTATCGTCATTCTTGAGTTTGTATTTACACATATATTACCATCTCTTCCTTTTAGTAGGGATGGCTTATCTAGAACTGCTAATTGTCGTAAACAAATGGTTCATATCGGGGTGGTCTGTTTGAAACATTTTTGCAGGAAATTAGATGTAACTTCTTTAAATGTTAAATAAATCTCTTTGTGAATTGTTTCCTTTAGTTAACCAAACCAAACTACATTACCTAGTAACAGAGCCTGCCATCCAGAGGCAAAAGAAATATGTGGCATGAAGACTAACTGTGAAGGTTTCCCAGCTACATGTCTATGATACCAGTACCAACCCCATCGCCCAAGATGGATGACAGCCCCATTCTGTTAGAAACTACTGGTAAGAAACGGTCCGTTTCAATCATGAGTGACAGCAGATATTGGCTGTTTGAGATCTAATTAATGATTCTCTAGAAAAGTGGTAAGGCCTTGCCAGCTGCACTGCTGGGCAGGAGCTGGGTGTTGTGGTTTTCTGGTGTCTGGGCTTGTCACAGCTCTCTGTGATCAGCAGTCTGAATTGCCTTCCTGTGACTAGGTAATATCAATAGGAATTAGTGGTCTAACGCTGTTCATTGATAGATATAGAGAGTACCTAAGATTGCCTGCCTGAACTTATAAGTGTATGTCATTTATAAAATTAGGGGGCTTAGCTAACATTTCCTTGCCTGCTAACTGTATCTTCATCAGAAGCAGCTATGGCCACTTCTGCATACAGACAAGATCACTGCCGTGAATTTTGAAAACCCTTTGGGTTGTGATCCCTGTGGAGGGCGTATGCACCTCTCCCATCCAGAATTCAGGTTGCCTGGATGTGTGAGCACAAGTACGGCTTTTGAAGTTTTCAAGGGCTTATCATTCATGCCATGTCTTCCTATGCGGATCTGGCATTACTAATATAAAACAGGGGCCCAAAACTGGCAAATTAGTTATTGGATTGCTCCAGTGCATCTGTGCTAACCTACGTATCGCCCTTCTTTGTGCAGTTGTTTCGGAGGTTAATGGATAATCCTGCCCTTGTGAATAGGAATGTTGCCAGCAACAACAACTGGGAGAAGATTATTGACTCTCTGAAGCAAAGCTTAGAAGATAATTGTTGTGTTTAAATGCTAATTCTATAGTATTATCCCAGTAACTTGTTGATGCATCTAAGAGTTGCTTGATGTCTATCTGTACACACCCACACATGTGCACACACTTGCCTGTGGGAATTCACATGCTTCTGCTGATATGTATGCAAAAGATTTGCTGTGTTTTCTTATTTGTAAACAGAAAATGACTGGATTCATTTCCTGATAAAGGGAGCTATTCCAAACACACCACCAATTCACTGTCTATGTTCATCTTGCAAGCTGATCAGTTCATCCTCGTGCACTTGCAGCCATGGTTCAAGATACAGAAGCTGCAGAAATGCCACAGGACAAGCTAAAGCTGCATGTTACCAACCCCCCACTAGAGAGGTACTTCACCCATTGGGAGAAGCATACACAGACCATTACATCTTTCACTCGGCAGGGTTTGTATGACATGAGAATTGCTACCTGCCACCCAATGTGTCTCATGCTGAGAGACAGGACTCTGTAGTACTGGAGCCTGGCTGTCTGCAGTCGGGGCTGCTGTACTACATCCAAAGCAAGCTCGCCAGTCAGCAAACGCTGCATTAATCTTTTGGGGAGTGTTTGTTTTGCTTGTTTTGCTAGGCTGAGTTTCAAGCAACTGATAATGTGTTTGTGAGCAGTTCTCCTGTTGCAGCCCATTTTTCAAAGGAAGTGCGAAGACCGATGCTCCCAAGGTTTGGTGGAACATGGTTGTGAAGGGTTATATATGATCTTGCTTCGATGTGTGAGCGTACGGTGCTTTCAAGTGCATGGTAATATGTCTGTGCAGGTACATCTGGGATAGTGGAGTTATGGCTCTGTGTGAAGTCTGATGAGTGTTTTTAAAAATATGCCTTGGTCATGGTTCTTCTCTATGGGTGCTAATTCCGCTCATGCAGCTACCTCACTGCAAGTGAGATGTGCGTTTCCTTGCTCAGTAATAGTCAAATTTTCAAACTGCTGAAAGATAAACTCCGAAGCCTTCTGAGAATTAAATGAGATAACCACTTTATTGCTTAAAGGTTTATGAGAATGGAAATGCCTGGAATTTCAGGAGGAAAATGACAATGTATATGGTTTGTCGCTACTTGCAGTGTTGCTGCTCTGTCCAGCTGCATTACTGTTGTTATTGTTCTCATAGGCACTTAAAATCACTTCCTTCAATATATTTATGCATTTAGTTTCTCCTAGCAAAAAGGAATTTAAATACCTTTTAGGATGTGGAAAGTTCAGATATGATTCCAGAGCCTCCCAGATGTGTAGGACCGTAAAAACAAGAAACATTTTTCAGGACTTTTTAAAGCTTACTCTCCATTGTTATTAACCTAATCTTTCACCTTTTCCCAGTCGCAATAAAGATGATTTCAAAGGCAGAAATGAGAAAAAATATATTCTTTCGAATCTACCAGTTTGGGGGCCTGTTGCACACATTTTTTCTGTTTCTTTGTGGTTTTAAATTACATTTCTGCTCTGAAGTCAAATCATCCGTTAACATGTTGGTCTGGAAGGCCCCAAAGCTGCTGCAGACCTGGCATGCAGCAAGCAGGCTGGCTAAATGGGGAAAGCTGTCGCTCATCCTCGCCTGCCGCAGACACAAGTGCTGTGAGAATTCCCCTGGTGCAGGGAAGTGTTGTGGTATCAGACTCAACATTTATTGGTGTAGTAACAAGTGAGTTCCTCCAGGCCCAAAGTAACATTATAAAACTCCCCTTTCCCCAAATCAGCTGCTTGAATTCGATTTAAGAGAGGGTTTCGTGTCTTGTATTTTTCTGTGTACTTCTTTGTGAAGAGTAATGCCAATCCTTATGCTCAGTCTTCAACAGTAGTATGTGTGGTAGGGTTGGGCTGCATAGGACAGTTGTGTCCTACCACGTAGGGTGCTGTACAGACCGCTGCTAATAATGGGGATGCTGTCCGGCTCTTGGTAGTGAAAGGTCCCCAATATGGGTGGACCACAGTGTGAGGAATGTAATATCAGATGTGTGTTAAGATTTGGGATGCAATCCAGTGCCTCCAAAATATAAGCATAATTCCCCTTGCAGAACTTATCCTCATAATTTTCCTGAGCAAGCTTTGATTCTTTTGTGTGTTTTCTAGAAAAAAAAATAACTTGGAAAAACAAAAGATTTTCATATGTTCTGGAATTTCTGCACTAAGAGTATGCAGACTTAAGGCTAGTTACTGAGAACCGTCCAATGTCTAGCTAAGAGTGAAAAAATAACCATGTCACTTCTTTGGAACCTGATCTGAAGTTCACTGGAGTGAATGAAAGGGCTCCTGTTGGTTTTAAGTGGATCCAGCCTTTACACAGTGAACAGAAGACATGTGTCTTATCTGCTTAAATGTGAAAATGTTATTGGTAATTTATGTTGATAGAAAGAGCACATGGTAACTTTCTTCCTGCGTTTATATAACAGGAGGCAAAAGCTTCAAGTACACAGTAAAAAAACATGAAGGGATGCAGTTGCTTATAGCCAGCACGATGACAGTGACACAACCAAGGATTGGGCTGTTTTAAGGATATTTGATGGAAGGGAGGCCGTTAGGTACAAGTTTCCTGTTACATTCCTGCCTAAAAAAGACAGCCCACCACTCAGGTGAGCCGTGTCATCGCCAAGCTTGCAGGAGGGGAGATGGTTCTTACTGATACACTTGTCTGATGTCTTCTGATTTTGGTTCAAGTGACACAGCATTCAAAAGATTTGAAGGCCATGCTGAAGAATATTTCAGAGCAGGAAAGTGTGCAGGGATAAGATGGCTGAAGCCACTAATCAGTAATAAATATAACATGATGCTTCATGCATACAGGTCCTGCTTTACATTAATAATTTGATTAAAATCAACAGACTGTCTGTGGATTTTCACGAGTATTAGATCAGGAGAGAGTAAAAGGAAAAAAAAAGCTTTTTCTTTTTTTCTTTAGGTATGCTGACTCTGTTTGTTTCTTTGGAATGCTGAAACAAATAAAGAAAATGAATAGAAATGTCAAGACACTGGAATAAAACCAACATCAAAAGAGAATTCTTTTGAACTGATGAGCTGAGAGACGAAATGGTAGCAGCAGAGCAGCATCAGTTGGGGGTCAGATACTGTATGGTAGATCTCCATATTTTTTAGCCATCTTTTGAGACTGATGCCTTGCGTTACATGATCAGAAAACCAATTGCCGGAGGAAGTCCCTGAAACTACTTGTTGTCAAAGAAACTTGCACCATCACAAGACATCACCTCCACTTTCCAGACACTGAGTCTCCAGACAATTAACTCACGTCTGCTGTTACTACGTTGTTTCTCTCACACTTCTCCTGGATATGTACGAAACTGTCGAGCTGAATTACACTTTATAAGGTGATAGGGAAAAGATCTAACATCTATTTTTCCCTCTTGCAGATTTTATAGTGTGGGGGATGCTAATTTTTACAGCCTAAAAAACAACCAAACCAAAGAAGTTCTGCTGCTCCTGAACTGATATCTTCCAGGTAAACAAGAACATCTGACATCACTGGCAATTATTATCACCTCTTTTTATTTTTTTTTAATCTCTACTTTCATGAGCAGATGTTAGGAAAGGCATAAGAACAAATGACTGTTTACTGAAATCTAATTTTTGACATTAAAATGAACCAAATGAGCTCAAAATGAGAAATATAAGCCTGGATTGAAGTCTGGCATCACCTTCTCAATCCCATTTCAGACTGCTTTAACATAGGGCAGCCCCACTGCACAGGGCAGTATAACCTTAGTACATACGCATGATGCCTTCTGTGCAAACAAATCCAGCAAAAAAGGCCAAATTCAACATCTTGGCAATAGCTGAGGATGACCAAGTTCTCGAGGTATTTATCAGCGATCCTAGTTGACATGTGATGTCTTCCCTAATGACATTCTGCAATGGAGACAGGTAGTAAATAGGGATATTTGAAGGTCTTGGCTATGGTAAGAAAATTCACTCCATGAAGTGTTTTCTACCTTAGTGAGATCTTTTCACCATGTTGCTTGAAAGGTTCAGGTTTGCCATTTCCTTTGCTCTGTAATAAGCTATGCAACTTGTTCCACACATTTTCTCCCTGACTTTTTCCTTCACATTTGAAATGTTCTTGAGTTGTGCAGGTAAGTTCCTGCCAAAGCCAGAGCAGAAAGCTTATGCAGGGTTTTCTTCAAAGTAGACATTTCCTACACAAATGAGAGAGAATTACTCATTGAATTTGTTCCACTTGAGGTTTTTTATGTGTGCAAGTATTCTTTGCTAAGTGTTTTAGTAAATACTAAAATCTCGGGTATGTTAAGGGGATCAGCGAAATTCATGCCAGTATTAAATGAATAATTGTGGAAAATGAGTTTAACTGTGCTACATAAAACCTATAATGCTTATGGCTATGTTCTTTAGCTAAATGGTTAAAATCTGCACTTAGACCAATTTGTCCAGGATGGTAGGAAGGTAGAAGAGAAATGGCAATGACCTTGCAGTGAACAACATGCGACCATGTGAGAGGATTATTTGGCAAATGATGATAGGCAGTGGAAGGCTTCGGAAAACTTCAGGAAACGTCATTGCTTCCACTTAGAAAACTGTTCATGGAGAGGAAAGCAAACAAACAAACAAAAAAACTAAACCTATTTAATTTTTCAAGTAGCTCTAGTAACTTTTGAGATCTCTATCAGGTTCCAAGTCAAAAATGATCACCAATTACATTCCAAAAAATAATAATAAAAACTTAGTAAGAAGAAACGAATACTGATGCTTCATTAGTAAGCTCAGTAGTTAAATTACTACTTTTTTTTACTTTTTTTTTTTTTTGGTGGTGGGGGGGGTGTTTTTTAAAACTCTTATCCTGTTTTCAGTTCTGTAGAAGTATTGCAATTCATCTACACTGCTTTTGCACTCGGTCTTGTTCCGATCTTTCTCTAAGCTCAAAGCCACGCTTTGGCTGTGCACCTCTGGCTGTTAGCCCTGTGTATTTCTTTTAGAGATGAGTTGGAGGCCAAGAGATATGAACTAAACAGCGCATTATCCAGTTTTGCTCATGGAATGGACTCTATTTTGTGAGCAGTACAGTGGGAAGGAATATACTGTTAAACTGATTTTCTACTTGCTGCTTGATTCACGGTGGCAGGTCAAAAATGTTGTGGCTCATGTGGCCATTTGAATGATCTTTCATCTGATTTTAGCCCTATAAGTTGGACTTCTGTCCTTTTAAGTACAAGTTTTTCTCCAGAAGATTGGAAATGGTTACTTGTGCCAGTTAAACTCCAGACAGTCCTTTTAAACTCTAAAATGGGGACTTGCAGAGCCTTTGGATCTGCTGGAATGCATTTCAGGGTTCTGAACATGTAGGACAGAATTTGGGAGGAGGAAGAATCCTATTTCAAGAGCCCAGGTACACCAGGGCACTGCAGATTTGCTGCTGCACTGGTGGGGTCCTGGTAGGGTCCCTCTGGCTGCAGTGAAGCAAAACCCTGCTTAATGACCCCATGAGGATCTGAAAGCTTTTTCTAATTAAGAAACCTCCTTTGCTTGGGTTCACTGAACTGCATGGACTTGCCATGGAGGAAGAAGCTATGTTTAGACTTTAGGACTTGAAGGCTTTGAAAATCAGTTCCTGAATCTCGGTCCTTCCTTTAAAAAATCCTTGTTGCAGATTGCTACTCGGAGTTTAAAAAATAGATGTTCTGCTGTGGGACTTGTGGGAAAATAGAGCCTATAACTTATCTGTAACTGCCTAATGGTGTTTGATAGTTCACATTTTTAAAAACTACTATAAAAAGAAGCCTTCTAATTTTGTTAGGTGGAATACTAATAGGGGGAGGGAAGGAGGTCGAGAGGAGCAGAGATCAGGGAAGACTGGCATAAGCTTTCCCTTCTGTTACCTGAAGGCACATTTAAACCAGCTGTTGCTCTACTGGAGAGGATTTTAAACATCTAATATATGCACAGAAATACGACACATTTATTCTGTTAGTTTGATCAAGCGTTTAGAAACAGCACCCTCTACTTTTAATACTCTCCAAAGGCAGCAACGCCTGGAGCTTTCCTCTTGCCATATCACCTGGTGAGAGCCCCCCTGGCAGGCAGACCTGGGTCAGCACAGCCGTGCCTCCTCGTATGGGTGAGGACTTCCCAAGGGTTGATGTCCTGCCCCATCAGAAGCTCTGGCTGTAGTGTACACTCTTTAGGTTACTGGTGTCTCCATGCCCTCATGTTGACACCTATTCTCTTGCCCACCTCTGAACAAAGTTGAGGGACCAGGTCCCCCTGGTAGGCATCAGGAAACACCAGTGAAAACAGTGGAGCTGATGGTGTCAAGGCCAGAGTTGGGAGCAATATTTTAAGTGGCAGCAGCCAACATGATCTATTGTCAGAGTGGGCAGTGCTGGACCTCCGTTCTTCCCTTGCTCCCCCTCCCTCATATTTATAGGTTTCTAATTTCCGCTGGATAATGAATATCGCTCTTCATTATAATTATGTTAAAAGGTACCAGCATGATGATTCAGAAACCCTTGAAGATATAGTCATATTTTCAGCAACAGATGGATTTAACACTGCAGATGGAGTGTTAAGAGTGCAGGTAATAACAAACTCAGCAATGTACTGTACTGAAATATAATTGGAAAGTATTAATCATATATTGGTTACTTCAGCTTCACTAAGTAGATGTTTAATTTTCATCAATCTTTTTACCAGATTCCCGGAAAGGTTTCTGTGTAGACAGAGTGTGGCTTCTAGGTGAAACGATTGCCCAAGTTATTAATGACCAAGGCCTTGATCTTGCAGGCATGTGCCCATGGCTTACCCAGGCATGCAGAATAAAAATCATTTGTGTTAATAAGGCTGTCAGATGGGGCCCCTTTCATATGGCCTACAGTTTCAGCTGGTGAATAGTCAGTAGTAAAACTGAGACCCCTCCGAACTCAGGGGCCGCGGGAGACCCGCCAACAGGAACTGCTGCCTGCAGATTTGGGGCAGAATGCAGGCAATTTGAAAAGCCCCATTTATGGAGGTAAACCAGGGCTTTAAATCTTCACAGAACTGGTTCTTAACATGTCAACAAAACCTGGGAAAGACTGTTTTCTTGCTATTCCTTGCTATTTTCTCCAAGGCCTTTTGAAGTTATCTGCGTACAGGGAAATGTCGGATACTCTTTCTGTAAACCCATAATTTTGACTGGTTTTTAAAATGCCTCTTCCTAGGGGTTGCATTTGAAGCCTGGATTACTCAGGGGAGTTTTGGCTCTGAGTGGGCCACGCAGAACCAGGGGAATCAGTGATGATGCCTGGTTGCATACCATCACTCTGATTCTTTAATTAACATTATTTATAATTAAGATTTCATGCATAGGATCAGAAAGCGGCCCATGCTCTGGTCTGTCACCTGGGGATGCAAGGAGTGCTGTAGGGCAGATCTGCAGCTTGCACAGCAAAAATCTCCATCCATTTTATGGCAGGAATATAAAACATGCTCTTTTTGGTGAAAGCTGATATATTTTCTTTTGACTACACTGCTGTGGGTGCTGTACCTCAGGTGGTTCGTGTTCACATTCTTCACTGTGGGTTTTGGCACCTGGTGAAGCTGCATCATGGAGTGGCTGAGATCGGAAGGCCCCCTTAGGTCCCCTGGGTCCCCCCTGCCTCAGCAGGGCCACCCCAAGCAGAGCCCACCCCACATCCAGGTTACTCTGGGAGTCCCCAAAAAGGGAGATCACAGCCCCTCTGGGCAGCCTGTGCCAGGGCTCTTTCACACTCCAACACATCTCCACTGCTTTCTTTTGTAAGTCCCATGAAATACTTTGGCTGAATGCTTTGGTCTTTAGCTGAAATATTTAGTTTTCTAGCGGTTTGTGGATCCTGAGAATGTAATAAAAATCTGGAATTCTCTCTGGAAAGTTGACTCTCACTTGATGGTACAATAAAATCGTACTTTTTTATCTTGGCTGATGAGAAAAAAAGATCAGGTAACAAAATTCAACATGTCTGGAAATAAAAATCGTCATGACTGGAAACCACGGGTGACCACAAAACAGTGCAGGATTAGTGCACTCTCTACTTTTTGACAGGCATCTGTACCCCTGGGAGATGCAAACAGGTACTGATCAATTGACCACGATAATAAAATGAAGGGCTGAGAATGTGAGTGACTCAAAATATGGTGTCTCTTTATGGGTACCAGACAAGACGACTTGTCTGTAATGCTCTTGTTACACACTGCTTGTTGCTAGTATGCAAAAACCAAATAATTTTCTTTTATTTTCACTCACACTTGGAAATCATCCTTCCCTTTTCCTCCCTTCTTACTCCATCGAGACCATGGGGGTGAGCATGAGCCCCAGAGCCGTGGCTGGGATCCCAGGCAGGGCTGGGTGTCCGAGCCATGACCACCCCCGAATTCTCCCTGCACAGTGTGCCAAAGGTGATGGGCATGGAGCTGATGTACATGAATGCAAGGGGGGTAATACAAAGGACAAGAGTTGTGGTGGATCAATTG